CTGGCAGGAGGCAGCGCTGACAGGTTTGCACTGCCTGGCTTTACTGGCAGCTGTGTTTATCCAGCAACAGTTCAGCAGGCAGCTCTTTCAGAGGAGCAGGAACATGACTGCTCAGGTCATCTGAACAGGCTTGTAACCCTCTGGATCCCATTTACTTCAATCAAGTGTGAGTGCTTGGCATTTTAACCCCTGAATCACAATTCAGACATAAACCTTAGGCATTTATTTAATGCAAAATGCTTTTGTATGTCCTTGTGGGACTTAATCTGCTAATACATTTGATTTTTCTCTTGTGTTGATGAATCTGTGTTGATTATTATCTGTTACTATTCTAATGCTTTTTTTATTATTTTTCAATGCATCCCTCTTGTTTTTAAATGTCGTTGATCCTTCTTGGTTACCTATCTTGATAGGCAAATGGGACAAACAGGAAGAGTCCTTGCCTCAGCAGATAACAGTGGAAGGGCCTCACTGTTGCTTGCCTATCTGCTACCCTGACTAGAGACACCTTCCATGAGAACAGTTAGCAGGTATTGGCACTGTCTCTTCCCAGATTTACCCCCATTCCCATTTTCTTCTCTACAGTATGAACCAGAGGCCTGAACATGTTTACAAAGAATATGGGGCAGTATTTTCGGCAGGGTCACCATGGAGATGCTTTTCTTGATTAATTAAGTTGCTCTGTCCTGCTAAAAATCCTGAAAAAGCAATATGGTTTAGTTTTAGGTAGTCTTTCAATGCAAGATATGAATCATATTCTATGATCCTAGAAACATCAATGTTGTGTGCAGTCCAGAGTGATCAAATGTAATCATCCTAATACAGACTTCATGTAGCACCAATAACATTAAAAGAAAAAAATTCTATGGAGAAATGTATTGTAGCAGACCTACTTTGACCCAAACTGCCCAGCCTAGATGCCAACAGTTTCTGTCAAGGTTTCTGTATGTGTTTGCAATTGCCTGATAAAAACCTATGAAAGGATTGAGCATATTTAGATAAACAAATACTTTTCAGTCTGGACTGGGAGAAAAAAAGGCTAAAAGCCCCAGAGCTAACACATGACCAAAACTACATGTGTTCATAGTTGCATGCTTCCAAAGCAAAAAATAGAACAAACTAGAAAGACCCAGCAGCTTATACTTTCACTGTCTCAAACTCTACTCTGTGCCATGAAGCATCTTACAACCTGGCATTTTCTCAGCTTGCTACAATTATATTATTCTTTGTACATCCAGGTCAGTTTGGTCCCAAAGGCAAACTTGGCAATGGTCAGCAAGTCATGGTCAGATCATGCAAGTCTTTGCTTGAGTAGGTTTTATACAATGTGAGTCAATATTCTGGCTTTCAAGGAGTTTAAAAGCCTGAAAGGGAGACGTTTGGATTTTATTTAAAATAACTTAATCCTTAGAACTCCTATATCTGTTTGCAAAGGGACAGAAGGCTCTACAGAAATACTCTGTGAAAACAAGATCAGGAAGGGCTTCATATTCTCTAAAAGCTGTTTTATTAAGTTTCTGGATGGGGGAGGAAGAATGTTCTTAAACAAACAAACAAAAAACTCACCTTTTTAAGCAGTTTCCTTTTGAGAAACAGCTTTCCTAGCACTGCCACTCAAATCACTATGCAGAGAAAACTATCACAGACTCCATTCAGCTAAATTTTAAGGAATCATCCTTTCCTTATGATGACTTCATGACAATCAACACAAAGGTTAAACAAAGCCTACCCACTTTAGTCCAGCTGTAGTCCAGGCTGAACTGAGTCAGACTGAGGTGAACACAAGGACATACCATCTCATAAAAACAATGTCTGTTTCTCATTTGTAGATAGTAAATAAGATCTATTTTACCTTTCAGCAAAGCTATCAAGTTTTCCCAACTCATCTGACAGACCAACAAGAGCATCCAGTGTCCCCACCTGTGCAAAAGATTAGAATTAGGTGAAAGATGCACAACTCTGCCTAAGGCTTCTCTTGGCAGAGCCTTAAGGGGACTGATTTGTGCTTAACACTCGTGAATTCAATAGTTTGGCTGAACTTTATCTACTTTGTGGAAAATAGTAGCAATTCCTTTACCCAGGACCTAGGACATAAAAAGCCTTTTCCAATAAAGGAAAAAAATACGTGTAGTCTCAAGATCACACATCGCTGTCTTCCTGTTTTCATTTCAACCTGTATCATTCATTGAGCTGCATAGTCTTTACCCTGATAAAACAATGACTAGAAATCCACAAAAATAATGCACACATACAAACAAGTCAGATGTAGAGAGAACCAAGAGAAGCAGCACTTAGAGACCCTGAGACAGAGGGTCTCTGTCTGAGTTTTTGCTATTACTGAAGATTAAGTCTCTCACAAAGCCACTTCCGACCAACATCTGCTTTTTGTATGACTCAGTCACCATCCTGTATTTATGGTATTGCAGTATATTGCTAAACCTTTTCTTCTAATGTTGCCAGCTCAACATTATGAAGGGTCAAGCTGAGGGAGAAGAAAAAAATTTTATATAAAACAAATAGCAGAATGTGAATGGGTGTCTTCAGATACTCCAAATGCTTTAGTTCCTTTAGCATAAGCAGACTCACACTACCACCAGTTGGGTAAGGTCCACAGATGGTAAAAATAAGATCCATAGATGGTAAAAATAATATTGATCTCAGGTGTGTATGCAAAAAGCAACATTACCAGTCTGAAACATTCATGTGACAATTCAGTAGGTTATTACTTGAGAACAGGCCATGCTCCCCTGTTACTTGGATCCTTATGTACTTGGAAGAGCTCAAGTTATAACTGTTAACAATCTTTTTGAATTAAAGGCAGATCCTGGGTGCACTAAGTGTAGCATTGTTAAGTGATGGGTGATGACAACTCCCCAAGGAATCAAGTTCTACATCTGTGGTAGCTCTATTGACTTTAATGCAGCAGATCTTGATTTCCTCATAGCCACCATTGAAATAGAAATAAAAGTGCAGATCTCATAAAATAATTTTTTAAATCATGGATTAATACCCTTTGAATTTATATGATATTATGAAGCTGGATAATGCAGCTGAATAAACACACACATCAATTTCCCAAGGACTAATGTGCATTGTAGCACTGCTTTCTCTGTCAGCAGTGTTACTGCTGTGGCTCTAGCTACTCCCTTTGCATTAGCAATCCATCATGTAAAGTGCTGTATGTCTTTCATGACTAGGAGCAAATTGTACATGGAATGCAAGAGATTAGTTATTTAACTTATTCATTTTTTCTTCTGATACATGTACCCTTCCAATGTGAAGGTCAGCTTTGAGCACAACGACTTACTTCTCTCTGATCAATTTTCACTTGACTGAACACAACTCATCCCCCAACCACAGTCTTCTTCTACTCTCTGCATGTTATTCCGAAAGATAAATCCCATGTTTATCCTAAAGGATAAATCCCACAGTTATCCCAAAAGTCTTTAGCCCTAGCTAGTGCTGCTGTATTGCCCATACACAAACCCCTTCTTCACTTACCTTTAAGTCTGGAATATGGAATTTGCTGTTGCTGGACAGGTTGGATTTAGATGTCACAGTGTTCATTCTCTCCCATGCCTGCAGATTTGTTTTATCTCCTGGAGCAGAAATTAGCCAGAACTCTGACATTATCTAGTATTTTTCCTTCACTCCTGCTCACTGCAGAAACTCAAAGCAGGTAAACGGTTGAAAAAGTACTGCACAAAGTGTGCTCTTCCCTAAGAACAGAAAGAGTTAGAACAGATCACTGATTTTTTTTTTTTTTCAGAAACACCAGGAGAGTGAGTCAGTCCTATGTCTCAGGCTGAAATGGAACATGACCTTCCCCAGAATGTCACGGAAAGAGTGCGACTGTTCTTTCCTTCTCAGGGTTGATCCATCCAGTTTCTGAATGAAGAAATGAAGCTTCCTCCTCCCCTTTTCCCTCCCAGCCTGTTCCATTTGCCTTGCGCTGTATGTCCAGTCACCACTGGTGAGTCTGGGGACTTCACCAAACCACCCAAATGTAATAAAGCATTTCTGCTTGATAATTATTCATTCTCAAATTGTTGGATACTTGTAGGGAAAACTAAAAGCAAGACCTCTGCTGAAAATAAAGGCTGCAAAAGACGCCACTGGCAAGAATGGAATATTGTTTTCCCCTGTGTTTTTTCTTCCCCGGCTGGATAGGAAGGAGCTGGAGGAAGGCAGGTCCTGGAGTACAGAGACGGTATCGTCACACCACCACAGACAGAACAGTCTGTCCCGGAGGGGGGACAGCTACTGTGGCGTGAAGCGAACAGATGAGGGCAGGAGAGCGAGCAGCGGGCACCGCACCGCAATCCCCCGTCCTTCTCGAGGGCTCCCCTGGGGCACCCCCGACTCACGCCCTCGCTCTCCGGTGCACGGGACGGGGCAGGTGTGGCACTGGCCCCTGGGCACCGACCGCTGTCAGCGCGGGTGTGGGGGATGTGGGGGATGCCGGGTCTCTTCCCGCTGCCTCACCTGCCCGCGCTGCTCCCTGTGCCCGCCGCTCCCGGCCCGGCGGCTCCCGGCGGCTCCCGGCGGCTCCCGGCGGCTCCCGGCGGGGACGGCGCGGACACGCTCGGAGGCGGCCGGGGCAGGGTCGGGGCGGAGCGGAGCGGCCGCCGGATCCGCGAGTGAGAGCGGCGAGGTGAGGGCTCCCTCCTGGGCCACGGTGGGCTGCTGTGCTTGGTGCTCTGTCACAGCTCTGACTCCGACAGCTTTGCATCTTTTTACTGTCTTTTAAAGTGGCACAAATAATGCAGAGGCCATTAGTTTTGTGTTGAACGCTGACTGTCTCTAGCAAGCCTGAAGGTTTTGGAATAACTAAAGAAACTTCTAGGAAAGTCTTGTTTATAGGACTTCCCTGGGTGCTTTATTTAACAAATAAGTGGTGCAGAAGCCCCTGAGGTAGTGATGCTTTCGCTCCTGGTGATGCTTCTTCCTTGTTATATAGCTGTGGTGTTTAGTCCTTACCAAGTCTTGAGCTTGTGTTATGTTGCCTTAAGCTTGCTTAAGACATTGGGAGTGTTTCATAGGTTGGGTGGAGGAATGTTCTTGAGAGCCATCTAATGCAGGCATGTTCTGAAGGAAGCAAGTGTTAAAGCACCTGCCTCTGAAAAGCATCTCTGCAAGTGAGAGTCTAAGCCCCACACAGGTGGTTATCCAGTTCTCATCTTCCAGTTGAGTGGTCTAATCCCTATGCAGTCATACAGCACTTAGACAATCTCTTCTATTACTAAGGGCTTATTTTCTTCAAAAGACAGTGCATTATTTACTCATGTTTCTGTGTATCAAATGTAAATGAAGCCCCACGAGAAATTAAACAGAAAGATGCTCCTGGTTTTCCACATGACCTGTTGTAAACGGAGAGGGTTTGAGATGCTGGGGCCAGGCAGGTCTGGTCATGCAAAGAAGAGCTCTTGACACTTTCAAGAACCTTAGATGAAGACCTCTAATGAGTTTGAGTATCTTCAGCACTCGGTAGAAGCATCTGATGCAAGGCATCCTGCATCATTCCATGTAAGTTGTGCTTTAGGTAGCTAACATGCAGGTCAAGGTCTTAGGCTCTAAATTTATAGACTCTTTAGATTAGCCAACGATTCATCTTCCTTTGCTTCTCTTTAACATTTTTAGTGATTTATAAAAAAGCAATACATGTGTGGAGGAGAAGAGTGTCTACTCCAGAAAAAGACATTGAGATTTGTAGCTGAAATAACCAGTCTGTGGAGGCTTTCTTGGTTTATTCTTTTTCCTTTCTAAGCTAATTAAACATTCAGTGCTCATAGCTGCTATGATTTTAATTCTTTTCAATCACAGACCCCTAGGGCACAACAAAGGGCTTTCCAGAAAGCCAAAAAATTCCAAAAAATGAACATATGGTGTGTGAGATGGTATTCATAGAAACAGTGATTATTGTCTAATCTTCCTTTTTGGTTTGTTTTTTTCTTTAGACTATACATTTTAATAATGAAAACAGAATTAACTGATGCTCAAGCATGTACACCATATATATCTACCCCTAGACTAGTAGTCTGAAAGGTATAGTAAACCTCATCACCTGGATAAGGCAGTTCTTTCCCACCTCAAACCAGTTTTTACTGGATCCTTGCTGCAGTCTCAAGCTGTGGAAATGCTTTGCATGATTAACTTTAGAAATGTTACATTCTCATAAGCTTCTTAAATTTAGAATTGTGTAAGTTGATGCTAGTGTGAAGAGAACAGAAATGTTTCTTGATGCAGTGGTGCTAGATTTTGGGGATGCTTCTGTATGCATGGATGCTACGACTAATAAGGTAAAATCCAAGCTCAAGGGTTGTTGGATTTCTGGATTCTACAATATATGCTATTTCCTTCCTAAACACTCTTATAGTAGCAATGCAACTTTTCTTATTTTTTCATATTTCACATTTGTTTTGTTACTATTATTAAAGTGAAAATATTATGCTACTTTATTGTTTTCATAGAAAATGATCAACTAGACATGATATTAATACCTAAGCAATGTCCTGCTGAATGTCTTCTATTATCATATTTTCTAGTTTTATTACAACTTTTTAATCTTTATTTTTTCCCCACTACATATTTTTCAGGCTGGATGAAGCAGCAGTGGAGGTGGAAGGGAAGAAGCAGGCAGCACCACATCCTGTGGGACAAGGAGAGTGTGCTGCAGTCTGGTGGTAACACAGCTCTGACAGCTCATGCCTCCTCAGCCATTTCCCTGGCTGGCCCTGCATGTGGTGCCATGTGATCTCAGAGCTGTCTAATTCCCTCATGATCATCACATGACTTTCTGTTTCCTTTGATCCATCAAGGCAATTAACTTTTCTGTGACTCTTTATGAGTACTTTTTCAGATGTCACACTAAGGAACAAAATTCTGCCTCAAAACAGTCATTAACAGTACTGAAATATCCTACTTGAAGTATCTCCCAAACAACTTTCTCAAACAGATAACCAAAATTAATTACCTAAACAATTATGACACTGATACTAGCAAGAAAGCTTGTTTTAAGCTTGCAAAACAGCAGCCATAGAGCTGTAGTTCTCTATAAAACAAATTATACAGCTATTATGAGCATTATCTATTTAGTTTTCTAATAACATGTGGGGTGTTTTCCCTCTGCTCAAAATCAATCTTTTAAATCCTACTTCCCAACCCTCCGTGTTTTACTATTGTTGCAGCAATATATTTAAAATTGTAGTCTAAAACATTTCAGTGAAGAACGTCCTAAATAAATTCATAATTTTCTGTGTACCTTCAATATTAGTATATGAACTACTTATCACAATTTCTTAGCTTTGTATCTATTTCTTAATTATGTTAAATAATATTGGAATATTGATTACTCGCTCTCTGTGTATGTGAAGTGCAGCAGAACCTTCTTGATGAACTTTTTTTTATATATTGAAAATGAAAAGTGAATGTACCTGACAGCTTGTCCTTAACATAATCATATGTATATACCTATTGCAGGGGCACTGTCTAGTTGTCATTAAAACCAGGAAAGGTAACATTCAGTTTGCTTATCACCACTGTTCAGAACACTGCACCACCATGGCCAACACCAGTACTGCACACAGCAAAATCTGACACTAAAAGAAAGAAAAGGCAAGTAACATGATTTGCTCTTTGTTGAAAGCATCCCGTATCTCACATATTTGCAGTCAGTTCATCTACTTGCTCATCTATATTCATTTGAATGGAAAATCTAGAAGTATGTCATTACTCCATGCAACAAAAATTAATGATACACTTTTTAAATTCTGTAGTCAGTGTAACAGGCAGATTTGGCTGCTCTTAAGTTATCTGGATTGAAATTTTTAATAGCCCATATTCTGGTTCATTTTTCCCCTTTGATTTTCTAAGAAGTCTTAAATGAATGACTGGCCAGGCTTGAATTTATCAACTTTTCATGCAAACTAAATTGACTGAAAAGAATAAAGATATAATTTTAAGACATTTGAAATAAAACACTGTTCCCTGCTGTGCAGTCAGAACCTCTGGGTTCTACTGTTCTTTGTTTGCACTGTAGTCAGCTAAATGCATCTAGGGAATGGACAAGAGGGTCAGGAATCCTCATGCAGTCTAAGCTAAAGAAAGTCACATAATTCTCCTGACTGTAAGAATCTCCAGTGTTTTATACCTCTAGGAATTCTTTGTAGGTTCAGACCTCCTGACTCTGACTGATGCCTTTTGAGGTGCCCTGGAGCATCCTGTTGGGCCTTCAGCTGCTGTTCCAGGGTAACACTGGCATTCTGTCACACCAACCAACCCCGTGCAGATGTCTGGGATTCCTTAGGACATTCTGAATAGTGGACAAGGGAATTCAGCTTTAAATGTCTATTAACAGCTTGTGATGCTCTAATTAGATGGTGGAACCTAGATATGATGGAGCTTACCCCACAGAAGACACTCAGTGGCTGCTGCACCTCCTCACACTTCATTAACTGCATTTACCAGGGACAAGATTCAGCTGCCCCAGCTTCTAATGCCACCAGAGATGTCCCTGGAGGTCCTCCCTGGCCTCCAGATTATGCTGCAGAGGGCGTGGTTTTTCCATAGGTCTTGTGTCAGCCCCATCTAGGTGTCCTGGACACTATACACCATCTCAAAGGCCACCAGAGAACCTACATTTAAGCAAGTGAAGCCTTAACACTCTGAAACTGGAGCTTAAACACCTAGCACCCACATAGGCACCTATATTTAGGTGTGCTCATTTCCCAGGAATCTCAGCTATAACACCCTCTAATACAAACTAGAATAGAAGCCTTTCTAGTCATGATATTGGTATCATCACTGTTGCAATACATCATCCAGGGACCATGCATAAGAATTGCTTGAAACAGCTTCTGTTTGCATCTTGTATCAGAATTATGTATTGTTAAGAATTTAGTTGTGATTTTCACTGTTTCTTGAAGATGTGTGTAGATCAGATATAGATTATTTTAGTCTCTTGTAAATTGGAACAGGAACAGTTGGAATTATTTGGATGTTTGTTTGGGGTTTTTTTTATGGTTGCTGGCAAGGTTCTGATGAGCCAAATCCTGGATTCACTGTTTTTCACGGATGTCGGACACAGTTCACCACAGGCTGAGAAAATTAAGCTCCTCCACCAAGGCTGCCAAATAACTCCAGCCTTCCTGATTTCACATGGAGATCATCCAGAATGGGACCACAGCCAGCCTGACAGACACCTCAACGGCATTGATATTTGAGGGTTTTTGCAGTGGAATGTACCATAGAAACTACATATAGCTGAGATAAGTGATTTAAAGGGATTAATCAAGCAAAGTAAAGAACTAATGAAGAAGGGAACTGAGGCAGCCAGCCAAGCAACACCAAGCTACTCTATAATCAGGTGTATTGTCTTAAAGAAGTGCATAAGGCAGTCATTTAGGACTTTGGGGGCTCCAGACATAGATAACCACTGGAGACTCCTGATGAAGCCCCTCATAGACCTTGTAAAGATGTGTATATATGCTAATAAGTGTTGGGAAATGTCATAAATGTGTAACAAGAATGTGGGGAATGAAAAATGAATAATCATGTAATGCAGACGTAAGCTGTAGTGAAGATACCTCTGGGTGCACTTTGGCAAACTGATTCCCAGGGCACCGGGCCTGCTGTGATCATGCAGTGCATCATAATAAAGAATGCCTGCTTTCTAAAACTCACAAATTGAGTCTGAGAGGTTTCTTTTAAGAGCCGATTTTAGGCAACAGAAGCACCAAGACTCACGTGACGGACACCTCACTGGCACCACAGCCTGTTAGATGCACACCCTGATGGCACCACGACCTGCCAGACACCCGATGGCACCACGACCCGCCTGGTGGACACCTCAGTGGCACCACGACCTTCCAAATGGACACCGCAGTGGCACCATGACCCGCCTCGCTGACACCCCGAAGGCACCACAGCCTGCCTGACGGACAGACCGGGCCCTTCCCGTGGGAAGCCGCAGCAGCGGAGGTGTTTCGCTGTGAGCTGCGGCGCCGGCAGAGCTGGCTGTGCCGCAGGATTGCTGTACTTCCCTCGCTTCTCCCCGCGTGAGGGAGGGGCAGAGCCGCCGACCCCGGGCCGCCCGCCCCGCGGGTCCCGCCCGCCGGCGGAAGCGATCCCGCCTTCCGCTTCCCCTGTGCCCGGGAAGGGGCGGGTGCGGCCGCGGCCATGCAGGTCTCCAGCCTCAACGAGGTGAAGATCTACAGCCTGAGCGCCGGCAGGAGCCTCCCGGAGGTGAGGGCGGCGGGGGGGACGCGCCCGGCCCGCTCCGGGTCCCGCAGCGGGAGCTCGAACCGCGCGGTGCCGGGGCTGGGCTGAACCCCGGCCGGCCCGGCCCGGCCCGCCTGCCCGGCCCACGTGCGCTCCTTTTGGGCATCCTCACCAAAAAACAGCCATAAGTGTTCGTTCAACTAAAAATGCAGTTTGAGTGCGTTAGTGCTCTGAATGTAGGTCTGTTGTTCCACAGACCCTTAAGCAGCACGACTTTGTAAGTTTTCTTGGTGTGCAGTCGTTAAACTTATCAGTGGAAATTTGTAAAATAATCAAGAGAAAAAGAATTAGCGCGCTAAATGTCTTATGCTTCAAATGCTTGGATAAACTTTAAATGATTCTCAGGTTCCTGTGTGAATAATGAGCTTAACACTTATGTATATATTTGTTTGCAGTGGCTTTCAGACAGGAAGAAAAGAGCTTTACAGAAGAAAGATGTGGGTGAGTTTTGCCCTTGCGGGGTCTTCAGCTTTATACATACACAACATTCAGGTCCAGAGCAGATACTTCACTGATATGAGGAAGTTATTTCTAGCTCATATTCTAAAAACTACAAAATTAAAGCTACAAATAGTTACTTTGACTTATATAGCTTTATGGGAACAGAATATTACCAGGGGTGTTTTAAATTTCAGACATTAAAATATTTGAGTTGTGGATTGTACAGAAATGTGATGGATGAATTCCATGTATAGCTTATGATAAAGTCAGACTGTAAACTCCTCTGTGTTACTATGCTAATCTTAGAACGCAGATATAATCATTTTAGCCCAAACTTGTCATAGGAAATAAAAATGACTATTTGGAAGTATAGGAAGTGTTGTATAAGAAACTTAACCAAGAGAAAAATGCATTGTTAACAGGAGATGGAATACATTATACAGCATATTAATTGTGTAAAATGTGTGATGAATATTTGCTACTACATTATATAAAAATTTGTTACATAGTTACCTCAGAATAGTAATTTACTTGGCACAGAGCTAGCCTGCTCCTCAGTGTTAACAGACTGTTAGTCTGCTTATAATGTGTTAGTTAAAATATTTAAAAGATAAAATATCTTTAAAACATATTCCTTATATTCAGTTAGCTCAACATGCTTCCTTAAGAAACCATTATAATTTTTTGGACTGATACAATTGTGCTAACTTTGCAATTTTTTTTTCTTTATAGATATCCGTAGAAGAATTGAACTTATTCAAGACTTTAAAATGCCCACAGTTAGCACAAAGATTAAGGTATCAAGAGATGGACAGTATATTATGGCAGTTGGTGAGTTAACAAAGTGTCTCTCTGTAGCAGAGGCCAAAGGTCCTAGAAAATCTTGACTGCAGAATGACTTTGGGTTTCAGGTAGAATTGATAAGAGTTCATTAAATGTAACATTAAATGCAACACTGAACATAGTGTTGGAAGTTTACTCCTAAGGTGTGATAGAATGGCTGTATTGGTAGTGGTGCTGTGGAGCAGTTTTGTTTAGAATACAGAATTCTTAGAAACATAAAATGGTTTGAGTTGGAAGGGACCTTTGAAGATCATTTAGTCCAACCCCCCTGCCACTGGTGTTTATAACACATATAAAAAACGAATCTGTTTATAATACAGTTAAAAACTAAGTTCTGAATTATTTTTATTCTATATATGTAAATTTGCTTTAAATAACTTCTGAATATCATTGAGTGTTGTTTTATAGGATGTAGGATAATGCTGCATTTTGTAACTGTCAAAACAGAATCCAAACATGAGTATTTTAGTAGGCATTAATAGCATAAGGAGCCTTGGTCTTTCAGGCTTACTGGAAGGTATTATTAATTCTGTTATGATGTACCTGGTAATCAGAAGAACCTGCATACAAGGAGGGTGCTTGCAAGCACCGAAGACAAAAATCAAGCCATAAGCTTGTGTTCCTAAGAGGCATATTTTTCCAGTCACAGAGGCTTTGGGAAGATCAGAATACTTATGGTGGAAATACAGTAAAGCCTATATATGTAAGATACTATATGTTTTTTAAAAAATGGTTTAATGTTACTTTTTGTTTAATGTTTCTTTTAAATTAAACATCAAATTGTTCTTTCAGGAACTTACAAGCCAAGGGTCCGCTGTTTCGATACCTATCAGTTATCCCAGAAATTTGAAAGATGCTTAGATTCTGAAGGTTAGTATAAACTATGGCTGTTAACACAAGATGTCTTTCATACATAATTCAGGTTGGACTAAAGTACAGATTTCTCTTCCTGTGCTGAGGGGACAGAATGTACCTTAGGGGAACCCAAGAATCTGGAGTGAAACATCCCCTAGTCTTTATCTCTCTATTTTTTCCTTGTCATCCCACTTCAGAGTTCTTTCTACTCTTGTAACGAGTGGTGTGGGGAATGTAAGATTTACCTTGAGCCAGTAAGTGTGGGGCTCAGAGGGTGAATGTGGCTGAAGCCTGTGTTCTGTTTAGTGAATGTGACATGGGTACAGTGCCTGGGTGGTTGCCAGATCTCCCTTCTTTCCCCTTCTGTGAAGCAGTCAGGTAGGAGAATGCACTGTGGTTGCTCAGTTTTCTCCCTGGAGCCCAAGCTCAGTAGATGAGTTACAGGATAAAGGGAATTCCCTGAGGGGTAATTTTGTTTGGTTGGTTTGCTTTTTTTGTTTGTTTTCTTGGAAACAAGGTACTTAGGAATAGATGGTAGCATGGCCAAGGCCCTAACAACACCTTGTTTGCTATTAATTTGGAGGGAGAACAACTGTGGTGAGGGAAGCAAGGAGCTACAATGGGAAAGGGAGAATTTTAGAGTGCCTGAGTTTGGGTTTGTTTGGTTGGTTGGTTTTTGTTGGTTGGTTGGGTTTTTTTTAAGACAACCGATGACTGAAAACAAATACAGAGGTGACCAAAAGAATGAGGGGATAAGCATATTCATTACAGAAGAACTGAACTGGTCTAACTCTGATGTGCGTGAAACTGCTGTGAAAAATAAAACTCGAGAACTGCTGAATTAGCTCAGGAAAAGGGTAGTAGAGCATGGGGGTGGCTTTTTGCCCTCTGCCTTAGGACTACAAGGAGTGACATAGGGTGAAGGAACAGTGCTACAATGCAGTAACAGGGGAGGTGGTAGGGCAGGGTTTCAGAGAGACTGGGGAGAAAAGGTATGGCAAGAGTGAGACCCACTTTGAAAGATGGAGTTATTGTAATACTAAATGCTTGCTGGTAATTAGAGCTTAAATTAGACCTTAAAGCTTTTTTTTGAACTGGCATCTTACTAGACTGCAGAAGTATGTTTCATTTGAAGTATAGCGTAGAGTCACTTCAGGTAACTTTAAATGAGTTATCTCATTTATATGGAACCAATTTAGCTGAAGCAGCTGCTCCCTAATGTTCTCAACACAGCTGATTTAAAACTAGGCAAAGTTCAATATGTTACGGAGTTCAGCATGAATAGTAGCTTTCACATTTGTGATTTTTTTGAGACTTAGAACTTTTTTTTGTGGAAGAGTTGACCCCTTAGAAGGACAGCATGTGCCAGTTTATGCGTATGTGTCCAGATTCACGTCACATTTTGTCACCTTTGATGGCGTACCAAAGCTCCATGGACCACACACTCACCAAAAACCATTTGATTAGACCTTCCCTGCACCAATAAAATACATGACTGAGCAATGTGTTGAGGAACATGTCAAGTATACAAGAACGATAAAAAGATTACAAGATGCTTCATATATTTCTGAAGTTTTAGAAACTACTTACTGTTTTGCAAATGAAGCTATATAATTAAAGATCTTATCACAGTGCCTGCTTTATGCATTGACACCTGTGGGGAATACTTACATGACTAAAGATTAGCATGAGTGCAAATGTTTTCAGGATTTATGCCAATGTTTGCAAATAAATTTGCTTACTTAGTTGACTTAAAATTCTCTTGCTCTCTCCTCCAGTGGTTACATTTGAGATTTTATCAGATGATTACTCAAAGGTATGTCTGATGTTTTCAATGTATAAATGAAAAAATTGTTTAGTATGTATATTAAAATGCATTTTCATATATAGTAAAGGTAGTCAATCAACACAACTTTTGGAACAAAAGGTTTTTTTAAAGAAAGCAAATAGGATAAACATTTTTTGTAGCTTTAAAATGTTGTTTGTTTTCTTTTTCTCTTTGTATTATAATTTGCTTTACCACTTCTAAAGTCTTTTCTGTAGTATAGAAAAACTTCAAATAATGATCTACTCTACAAACAAAATAAGGTAAAAAATGGAATTAGCTCTTCTTTGTAGTATAACGTTTAGTCACAATCCTGTGTGATAAGTGGTACATAGATACACCATTTTTGAGATGTGGGATAGCTATAGGTAAGTTAATAACCTGATTTGTCAGTGTTGTTGTAGACATGATTATGAGCATATTAATGAGGCAGAAATTGTGGAGAGAAGTAATGTCCTTTTTTAATTTTTTTTTTTAAATTTCATTTATTTTTAAATTAAGTGCTGTACCTGAAGGAATCACCTGAATTCTTAGGACCATGAGCCATTTTTCAGGCCCAGTACCGTTAAATATGAAATTTAAGCATATGTAATTTCATTAGGACAAGCCATTTTGTTTTGTTTTGTTTTGTTTTGTTTTGTTAAGTGTTTATTTTACTACTTTTTTTTTCCGTGAAGAGACATTACCATTTCAGGAACAGGTTTGTTTTAATAAATACTCTGTTTAATCAGAGACAAGAACATCTAGCCTTCTAGCTTTTCAAAATGTTTCCTGTGAGATTTCCAAGGAAGTGCATGAATTTAAGTAGCAGAAGATCACAACTGGTACTGTGCTGTACTTGTCTGTGGGGAAAATCTTTCTGGTTGTACAGACCAAACAGTTGTTTGTGAGACTGAGACATGCTGTGTTCTCAAATATGTTTCTGACTGGTTATGAACAGAATGGCTCTTGTGTGTTTTTAACTATTATTGGTACTATATTTTAGACTGAAGCCCTGCTTTCTCAACTTAATACAACCTTGTTTTCAATTTTATTTTCCTAAAACTTAACAAATCCTCAGAAAGAAAACTTAATTTCAAGTAGCTGTCATGATGTTGTGGACAGTTAGAAAGAAGGAACAATATTTGAGAAATTATACTTGAAATTCTTAGAATCATGAAAGTATTGATTGGAATTGGACCTTCATATGTCATTTACTGCTTGAACAGTTGTGTCAGAATCTGCAAGCATGGTGGTTCCACAAATTTACTGCATAAATTGTTGCCATGCTGCACTGCCTTGTCATAAAGAATTTTCAGTTCCTGTCCAACCTGCCCAGGAAAATCTTAAATTTTTACTGTTGTAAAGATAACAGATATAAAGTAATTTTTGTACCTCACCCTTCCTGAGCTTCTCATCCTTATTTGTATTCCTAACAATGTAGTTCAGCAGTAGAAAAATTGAAATTTTCATTGTCTACTGTTTTTACAAGATGCATCTACTACATATGCTAAACTTAACTAGCACTTTTGTAATCTAAGGTAAGTAGGGATGAGGCTCAGAGTCAAAAGTCAGCCTGTGATTATATGTATCATTTGTGGCATGAGTTTGGGCAAGGTCAGCTCTGCCTCCATCATACAATGCCTGGGTATGGTTTGAAGTACAGTGTGAGTTAACAGGTGGGGTGGGTGATACTGTCTCTGGAGTGGGAAGGATTCCTTCATGTGGATATGTTAACTTGCCATCAAGACTATAACAGCAGGTTCTGGCCTAGTTTATTTACTGGTACAGATCGAGCCCTCTGATAATGCCTCTCTGTGGGCTTTTTGCAGGACTGAGATGTTTTGTCTAAGTTTCAGAAAGAAACAATGTTCTTCCTCCGTTAGCAAACAACAAAAATGCAGAAAGACCATTGGTGTAATTTATTGGAACACTCTGTGCATCAGGTTGTGTAGTTCATGTACTTAGTACCTGTGAACATGCTGATGTCTGCATAGCATCGTACTGGGCAGAAATTGCTAACTAGTATCTTGAAAGAAATACAGATGTTAATTTTGGTGCAGCAGAACCCTGAGGTAACTGTACTGCTTCTGATTGCAGAGTCACTTTCAGGGTATCACATATACTCTTATGAATATTCATATAATGTATATTAAAAAAAACTCTTTGCCATGGCTAGTGAAAATGATGAAGCACTAGTTGATTCTATCATTTTAATAGAACTTGTTTAGGTTGTGATGAGCCCATGTGAGCTTGAAAAAAAATCACTGGAGTTTGTGCTGTAAGGCAAGTTGAGGAGATTGCTGTTGTTTCTCTCTTTCAGTGATTTCTATTTTATTTTCAGATTGTCTTCTTGCAGTGTGGCAGGTTTGTGGAGTTTCATTCACAACATGGCCATTACTACAGGACAAGAATACCAAAATTTGGTAGAGATTTCTCTTATCACTATCCATCTTGTGACCTGTACTTTGTAGGAGCGAGGTAATAAGTGGATTATTTTGTTTCACTTTTGTTAGCAATGTTTTCCAAGAATGAAATAAACATTAAAATGCTAGAAAAGTTAAAAAATGGAAGAAGTGGCAATTCCTTCCAGATTAATAATGGAGACTGTGAAGAATGGAAAATGTAGGAAAAAATTCAGTTTCTTGTGCTGTTCTAAGGCTTTCTTTTCTTTGATTCTTAAACCAGGTACATCATGTATTTGCAAATTTGTATTAAATATTGCAAGTCAGTGCTAAATATGCTAAAAAGTGTTTAGCATCTAGGTAATGAAAATTAAATAATTCTTTCTATTCTGGTTGGTGTTTTGTTGCTGTAAGGTGTGAGTTAAATCACGTAATTGAGTTTGTGAAAAGACATAGTAAAAATAAAATTAGGTCTTTGGGGTTTCAAACAAAATAAGTAGAAATTCAAGATGTAGCTTAAATCATAGGAAGTTAAAAAATCTTGAGAAATAAACTAATGTATCCTTTCACTGGAAAAACAGTAATTGGTAGGATATTGAAGTATAATAAATATGCTTGGTGAACATGCACATTTTTCTCTGTATTTTTAACACTGAAGTATAGATTTATCTTGTTGTAGATTGTGAATTTTGAAAATTGTGTATTTGGCAAAATTAAGCTGTGAATAAGAATCTTTACAATGCCTGAGAACTTAGAGCAGTGCTTTTCAGTATTTGTAAGAGGCAGGAGTAATTCTGGATTTTTATTTTGTAGTTCTGAAGTATACAGGCTAAATCTGGAACAAGGAAGATTTCTGAACTCCCTGCAAACTGAAGCTTCGTAAGTTATCTGTAATGCATGACATCTATCTGTCTTCTTTCCACCAGGTGGAAGCAGACTACTAGCATGCTCACCAGTACTATCTCTGAACACTGCCCAAACGCATCGCAGAGTTGAAAGGGAACATATGCTGAGTCTGAGTCTCATTTCATTTTATGTTCTGTAATTTTTTTGTTCCATTTTTTATGTTTAATTGAGTTTTCTTTTGTGGATATTTTAAAATTGCTTAATATGAACTTATAATAGGCAGTATATAACTTGATTTTAAGAGCATTTCATTAAAACTTTGCCATTACTGCTCAATTTAGCCATCATATAGAGATCTACCCACAGGGTACGTACTTTCCTAGACATGTCTTTGTCCTTCTGCTCTTGGAGTAGCCCAGAGATATTTTTTTTATATCTCTAGCATGTGTCTGATTCTTTTGAAAACTGTACCAGAGCAGGAACTGAGCTTCTTTCATGTGGGGAGAGGTAGATGAGAAAACCAGACTTGACTAGATAAAGTTGCTAGTTGGTGGCAACAGCTGGTGTTCAGTGGGTAGGATGGCTTAATGGACAAAGAAGTATTTGGCAAGGCACAATAAGGAACTGAGCACCAGGAAAAAAAAGAGGGAAATTCTGGAGTGGGAGGGATAAGGGTGTAGTGTAACATTTGGATTAGAGAGATGAGGCTTGAAGTTGTGAGAAGGTTTTGAGGTGGGAGAGTTGGATGACTTACAGAATTAGAGGTGGAGAGCTTTGAATAGAAGAAGTTGGAAAGCACTGGTGTAAGTGGTATAGAGAGAAATATTTGTACTTTAGAACAGTTGTTGAAACACGAGGCTCTGAGGTGCTCTGTTGAGAAACAGGATACTTGGGTGAGAGAAAGGAGAACAGACCATTCATCAGACAGAATGTGCTGGAGATCTAAGCTTTAGAACATAAGTAATCAGGAAGATCTTTTGACATAATTAAAAACAGAGAATCATTTAGATTGGAAAAGACCTCTAAGATCATCAAGTCCAGCTATTAACCCAACACTGCCAAGTGCACCACTATAACCATGTCCCCAAGTGCCACATCTACACATCTTTTAAATACCTCCAGTGATGCCCCTTCCCAGGGTAGCCAGTTCCAATGCCTGGCAACCTTTTCAGTGAAGAAATTTTTCCTAATATCCGATCTAAGCCTACCCTGGCACAACTTGAGGCCATTTCCTCCTGTCTGTTGTGTTGTTTAAGAATATAGTGGAGCAGAGCAATATGGCAAGGCTCGGTGGTATGTGGTGGATATGGGCAGAGAAATGTAGAATCATTCAGGCTGGAGAGAACCTCAGAGCCCAGGCTCCTGCTCAGGGCACGGTCACACGGAATTCAGATGAATTTTCCCAGGGGTGTCTAGAAAACTTCAAAGATGGAAATTTCCAACCCTTTATGGTCAACCCATTCCAGTGCTTAAATTATTCTTACAACTTAGAAATATTATCTTGGCATCCCTTTAAGTATGGGAAGCTGCTATTGCGTGGCTGTCTGTCCATCCCTCCAACTTTTGCTTTTCCAGGCTGAGCAATAGTGTAAATGATTACAGAAATCTTTTTAGCTATTCATGTGTTAAATTATTCTGAGGTCATTAAACTTGCTCTTTTTTCTGTTTTAGAGAGAGTAATGTCTGTGACATAAATCCTGTACACTTTTTGTTTGCTATGGGGACAGCTGAGGTAAATGTTTGCATTTCTTCTATGAAAAGGGCAGTACTGTTTGTTTCATTTTTATATTAGTTTGCATGCGGATAAGAAGAAATCATAAACCTAATTTGTTAATTTGATTTCATTTGCTATGTTAGATATAGATCTGTTAAGGTGACTTTTTAGAGTGTAGTGCAGATAAAATATCTGAGTTACTTGGTTGCTTAGATGCTTGAGATTTTGCAGATGGGAGAGAAAATAATGTTATCTTGTTTTGCAGTGTAGCCATCTGTAGAAATTAGCTAGCATGTGTACCCTATTAATCTTAGGAAAATTAGCATTAATTATTTTGATTCAGATCACATTTTAAAAAATAGAAATGAAATGTGTGCAGCATGTACATAATTATTAGAACAACTCCTGTCAACCTAGGAAATTTTGTTAATTTTTCATATACTAAATAATTTATAATTTTATTTAAACATTTTTAGAATACCAGGCATCTGTTGTGTATGCTTGAACCATATTTTCTAAACTGTTTAGGGTAGAGTGGAATGCTGGGATCCTAGAACTAGAAATCGAGTTGGGCTGTTGGACTGTGCTTTAAGCAGTGTGACAGCAGACACAGAGTGAGTAAAGTCTACCTTTTCAAAGTGTGCTCTTTTGGTTTTTTTCAGTTTTGCTTTTAGAAATCAATCCCACTTTGCATTAAAATGACCTGCCCATGGTCTTCTCATTTCTAGTGTGAATAAAAGGTTTTCTTAGTCATAAAGCAGTTCTCTTAGTCATTGATCTGAGTAGTACTGGCTATTTTTCTACACAAACACAAATTGTGAATGTAAACAATGCAGTTTTTTGAAGTAGTATTTCTGAGCGATACCTATAAATTATTTTACAGTAATTATCTTAGCTATTTTTAACATTAACAAAATTATTTGCAGCCTTTATTGAAGAATGCTTAATTATAATCATTGTGCTTTGCAGGATAGATGGTTTGCCATCCATTTCAGCACTGGCATTTGATGGAGCTTTGAATATGGCTGTTGGAACATCTACTGGACAGGTAGATTTAACTTCGTCTACAATGGTTCTTAGGAGATCCTGTCCTTGCATTTCCCAATCCAAGTCATGCATTGAGTGCAGTTGTTGTAATGTACCTATTACTGCAAGTATTTATAAGACTATAAATTATGTATGTAGAGTAGCAATAGTCATACTTCAGCTGCAATTTAATTTTGTCAAGTGGTCTTTCTTTTCAGAACACTCTAGGGACCACTTAAAATCATCATAACCTACATATGATATAACTTCAGATTTGCAGTTTTCTTATGGCTTGAGTCAAGTATATGGGGAAATTGCTGCTTTTTGAGACTATCAGTACTATCTCAATGCAACATATGTGGTCTTCCTTATATTGATGGTGGCTAAAGAAGCAGAAGTGATTGTCTTCCAGCTGCTGCTTTTACTGTCTTATCTTGATATGAAGAATCATTTCAATTTATTTATTCATTGTTGCCATCATATTTATAAAGTGAAGTGTGGGGATTATGTGCTGCCTTCATCAGTATAGTCATGGGTTTAGTAAACTAGCTTGTACAAGAGCAGATATGTGTGTAAGAATTGTGTGTCAGACAAGTTTTATTGGAGATTGTGTTTTTGATTAAACCAACTGCTAATGTTATTTTTCCCCAAAATTATTGGTATTCACACTTTACATGTGAATGGTTCAGGGTCTTTCTCAAGTCCCATAGGAAATTTTGGAGATAAAAATACAGGTTTCTGGAATATGGGGACTGTACTCTCTACTTTCCTTAACATAAATTTCACTGAGAGAAAGTGATACTGAATCTGGAAGAGAGTCTGAAAATTTAAATTGTGTAAGAACAGCACAAGAATCTGAAAGTGAAATATTAGTAATTTTGAAATACTAAGAGTCTTGAAAATGGTTCATTTTATTCCATAGAAATGAAAAAGTCTTTAGAAAGATGGTGAGGTCTTAAATTCAGTAATTTTTCTAGATTGAAGCATGCTGAGGTTAAAACACATTGCCAGAATAAACTGACCTCACTTAATAAGTTGTTTTTGTTTTCAGAATTTAAAATTATTTATATAAATCCTCTCCATATATTTAAGTAACAAAATCTCAAGTTTAGTTAAATATTTAGTGAAGATCTGGTGGTTGTGACTTCTTCATGATCTTACAATATTATAAATTTAATCTATCTCTTATTTTTCAAGGTTTTATTATATGATCTCCGGTCTAGTAATCCATTAATAGTCAAAGATCACCACTATGGCCTGCCTATTAAATCAATTCAGTTTCAGCATCAGTTGGATTTAATTATCTCTGCAGATTCTCGAATCATAAAAATGTGGAATAAAGATACAGTAAGTGGTTTTAGGTTCTTGCATTCAGATTTTTTTATTTTTTACTTTATTTGGGTTTTTTGTTTGTTTGTTTGTTGTTTGGGGTTTTTTGTACAGTTTGAATAAGCTGAAGTTCAGTGTAGGAATTTGAGTTTTTAATGTGTCATAATTTACATACCATTTTGTCCTGTCTGACTACATCATCATCTGGGAAGTTATTCAACAGCCTGTCAGGTATAAAGATATGGTCTTAGGGCATTTTTAGCTGTTTGTACATGTCTGGCCAAGAGGCTTTCAGTAGAAGGATTTAAACATAAAAAGTAGTATCTTAGCCATTGCCCTGGTTTGTGTATTTCTCCAAGTGTGCTTGAATACATCCAGTTACTGTTTTTCATTACAGAAAACATGTTCATTTCAATTCCCTGCTCAAAAAAGGGTTCATTTCAAAGGTAGATCAGTTAGTTAATGGCCTGTTAAAATTAGGTGCTGCTTATTTTCACAGAAACCTATTTGGATACTGAAGCAGATACTATGCCTATATCCTAATAACATTAATATGTCTTATGCCATATTAATGGATTAAGTTGCAGTAGGCAACGTCTTTATCCCTGCCTTTTGCACCTTTTAAGTGAAATTGAAATCTCTAATTTTCATAACACTTTCTTTCAGTATATTATGCTGTCATTTTTCTTATCTTTGGGTCAATGGAGCTTGCACAAAATACATTATCCCAGAGATTCACACTAATACTGTTGTAACGTGGTTCGGTTTGAGGGGCTATATTGTCATTGTATTCCTTCTAAAAAACATGCTCCATGTATGCTTTTCTAACTTTATAGTGAAGCATACCAAGAGCAGTTGTAGTAGGGGCTTTTTTTCTGATTCTTTCAGGCAGTCATTTCAGTATTGTGTTGCTTCATGAACTTTCAGCAGCCTCTTATTTTTTCTGTGAGCACAAGCAGTATTTTGTAAGTTCCTCTGCAGTTAATTTTTATTGTTTGAAAGAGCAAATAAATTATTGATTATTATTTAAAACATCTGCAGGGGCCTCTCTCCATTTTTCCTAGGTATGTATATTTCTCTCGTTGAGAATGAAACACTGTAAGGTTTGTCAGGTGGCCTCTGGTGGGAAAGGGAGGGTTTCTTACTGCTGGAAGGCAAAGATAGCTTTGGACTCTATCCTAGAGTATGTTCCAGCTGGCTCCACCTCTCCTAGATGCTGGTTCCTGACTATCTCTGGCTGGGAACCAACTGCAGAGGCAGACTTTGGGGTGGAGAGCATATGGCTTTGATACCAGAATAGCCCCATGCTGAGACGTGCCTTGGGGTGGGGAGCACGAGGCTTTTGTCTGCTGAGGCCGGGGTGGAGGAGGACTCTTCTTAATCATCAGGGAGAGACCAGAGGTGGGTGGGGTAACAGCGTGTAACTGGGAGGGAAAGGAAGGGCCCAGAAAGGTAGGTGGGATTGCTGCAGGGAAAGAAAAAAGAGGAACAGGATCAAAATTTGCTCTGTTCCTGTCCTTCATTTAGAACCGTGTAGGCATGTACTCTCATGCTTCAGATTATGTGGCCCAGTTCTCAGAGACTCTTCCTTTGCTGGCTGTCTTGTATGTTGGCTTATAAGAGCACCTGTATTTTGTCTGGGTTTTTCAGACTCTGTTCCAATTTTTATTATTTTGAGAATGTTGTTTCCTGCTTTTTCCTCTTTCTTAAATAACCTTTATAGCTTCAGTTCTGATCTAAGCTAGATATCACTGGATGCTGTACTACTTTTATATTAAGACCTCTTTAATGCTGAGTTTATAAATTATAAATAAAGTGCTGAGCTATAGTACATTTCATGTAGACATTAGCAGGGTGGAAGAACTAAGCTCCAAATTCAGATTCCATTCCCAATCCGTTGTTTCAGCCAATCATACTTATAAAAGTAAAATGATTTAAAACTACCACATTCACAGCTGAATAAAGTGAGGGTTACGCTGACAGTGTGCCAGGAACTTAAAGACCTTAGCCCCCCCTTTTGTATAAAATAAAGTAAATCTGACACGTATATTTTCAACACACAAGTGTGAGCTGAAAAATTAGAAGTGCCACTATACATTGCTGTATCTTCAGTAACCAGTAGGCTGTGCTTCCTTGTAGGAGATTGGATCAGAGATAAAATGCAATACTGAGTTCCTTGTGTTTTGTTCAGATATTTAATAGCATTTTATTCTTCTGCAAAGTCTGTTCCATCTTCATTTCATCATGTTTCTTAGCTTCTGTAATGGCAATTCTTAAATGTTTAGATTTACAGAGTTTAATTATATTGTTTGGAATTCTTTATAATGCATTTTCTTCCTACAATTTCAGGGGAAAATATTTACTTCAATGGAGCCAGAACATGGTATCAATGATGTCTGCCTGTATCCAAATTCAGGTATGTTAAGTATATTAATGTCTTGTTAAGTTCAAAAGGAAAAACGTGTGTTAAGCCAAGCTGTGATTTTTTTTTTCTGTTTAGATTAGACTTAGGACTACTTTCCTCCTTATGACAGAGCTAGGAATAAAGGATTACTTGCTTGTTAGTGTCCTTGTTTCCTCTGCATCTGTATTATATCAGAGCCTCTTTGCGGTTAGAAGCTGCTGTGCTGTTAATTGAGTGATTGACCTCTTTTACTCTTTCAAATATCTCAAGTGATTAATTTCATAAGAATAGGAATTTTGGCCTATTGTCTAGGCTAAGTCCCAGATGAGTTAGAGCTTGCTTTCTAGAGCTAGGAAAAATCTCTTTACAGCAAGTTTAGAGATTTGATCTTTCCTTGATTTAGATACAGCACTTACTGTGCCCTCCCTTATGTTTAATAATTTGATTTTAAGTGTAGATTGCTAAGTGCATAGATTTGCATTCTTTTTGTGACTGTTTCCAGATTTGTTGCATCTCGTAATGTTACATTTAGAGATCAAAACTGAAGGTCACTTTTAGCCAAGGTTTCCGGGACCTATCTTACGAGTAAAAATATTTTACGAAGTGGTGGTTGTATGTGCATGTGTGCTTTGGTCGTACTTCAGATTGTAACTGGCCTTAATTGTCTTGCTCAATCTGAGTTGCTTTAGTTCTTAACTACTGTGTGACATGTACTTCCTTTTTAGAAAGCAGAACTGAAAAAGATGAAATAAGTTAGGACCACTAGGATGGCACAGAGCAAAATTCTTGAAAGAGAGAATGCCTGTATTGCAAGCTCTGCTATTATCCTAATTTTAGAGAGAGGTAGCAGTGAAGACAGAGTGACTTGGACTTTGATTCATACTAGCAGCTCAAATTTAAGATTGTAGATAAGTGAGTTTGAGATTTCTAACAAGTTAAAACTTATCTTTGTCTTTTCTGCCAACTTCAGTTAAGAATGTGTTGGGTGGTTGTTTTTTTTTTTTTGGTTGGTTGGGTTTTTTTGGTTTTGTTGTTTGTTTGTTTGTTTGCTTTTTTTTTTTTTTTTTGGTAAGATGATCACTTAAATACTGATCCCTGATGAGATGGTGGGAATTTTTGACCTTATGGAGCAGGGTACATGTTGTGTGACCTGGTTGTATGTATGAGTTCATGTGGGTGTATTTGAGAATAACTGTGTGGTAACAGGGTGGAGTGTGCAACATGGACATAGACAAACCTGATCCCTCATCCATAGTGGCTACAGAGAGAGGTCATTGCAGGAAATTATCATCAGCAGTTCACCCAGGTTTCACCTTCAATGACCTTATTGGTTTGATCCAAAAGAGAACCCAGGAGCAAATTATCCATGCAGCATTGATAATGCAGAGCTCATCACAGGGAGTGAAACAGAAATAAGTTATTTGACGATGTAAAATCTTAGTGTAATTTAGGTTGGAAGGTACCTCTGGGAGTTGTGTATTTCCTACTCCAAGTGGGGCCAACTTAAAGTTAGATCCAGCTTTGAAGTCTGTCAGGTTGCTCAGGTCATAACCAGTCAAGTTTGAATATGTCAAGGATGGGCATTACCTCTGTGGTATGTGGACATGCCTCGTGTGCTTTTGCAGAAATGATTTTCATGAGACTGCAGGAAGAATCTTGTAGTACAAACAATTGAATTCACATATCTCCCTAATGTAACTATTGGACATTGCTTTTCATGTGTCTGCGATCTAGATCTAGATTGTGCATTTCAGTCCTGTGTCCCACATCTCCTCCTTAACAAAGTTCTGCTTTTCTTACTGTTCCTTCGTCAGCCATGTCTATAGGGGGACTGGTTGATGGCTTTTTGTAAGAACTGTCATGGGATGAAAACTAGGTTGTATTTTATAGTCATATGGAGACAGAGGGGAAAAAAACTAGAACATGTTGCAGTGGAAATTGGGAGATTTAAGCTAAGGGGTGATACTTTGCATGTTTGTCATAAATACTGTTGGACTAGAATTTAAGATGCTTAGAGCCACCTCATGCTCATTCAGAATTTAAAGAATAATAATGATTGAACATCTGAAAATAAGGAAATACTTTCAGTAAGATGAGCTTACAGTTGTGGAAAGTTGGAAATATAACATGATTTAAGTGTCAGTATGGCTTTGGCTCAGTGGTCTTATTGGTGCCCCAGCATTCTCAGAGTACTAGTGAATGCATGGCACAGGAAACCCAGGAAATCTTTGCCTAGCTTGTGTTTTAACTCTTCATGTGACACTGCTGCTCAGAAAGCCCAAACCCCAGTCTCACCCTTATGACAGTTCTAACACTTCATTGTCACAATTATAAAAAAATTAAGAAAAAGTGAAACTACATTGCAACATAAAATATTCGGAATTCTTTCTGAAACAATGAGTACATCAGTGGACAAAGGAAGTGTTACAGGTGTTCATCTGGACTTCTGTAAGGCTTTTGACACAGTCCTCCACAGATCGGAAAGACATGGATTTGATGGGCAGACTGTTCAGGGGATGAGGGGTTGGTTGGATAGTCTCATCCAGAAGGTGTAGTAGTGAACAGCTCAATGTCCAAGTGAGATCAGTGACAAGTGGTGTCCTTTAGGGGCCCTTGATGGGACCAGTGTTCTGTAATATCTTCATCAGTGACACAGACAGTGGGATCGAGTGCACCCTCAATAGATTTGAGTGCTGCTTTTGACACACCTGAAGGATAGGAGGCCATCCAAGAGGACCTGGACAAGCTTGAGAATTGGACCTTTGGGAACCTGAGGCAGTTTAATAAGTCCAAGTTTAAGGTGCTGCACTTGGGTCGGGGAAACGCCTCGTATCAATAGAGGCTGGGGGATGAATGGATCAAGAGCAGCCCTGCTGAGAAGGACTTGGGGGTGCTGGTGGATGAGAGGCTGGACATGAGCTGGCAATATGTGCTTGCAGCCCAGATAGCCAAACTTGTCCTGGGCTGCATCAAAAGCAGTGTGGGCAGCAGTGTTTCTGCCCCTCTACTCTGCTGTGGTGAGACCCCATGTAGGGTCCTCAGCACAGGAAGGACATGGACCTGTTGCAGCGAGTCCAGAGGCCACAAAAACAATCAGAGGACCTCAGCACTTCTCCTGTGAAGAAGACAGGCTGAGAGAGTAGAGAGTTGGTGTTGTTCCGCCTGGAGAAGAGAAGGCTCTGCGGAGACCTTATTGTGGCCTTTCAGTATTCAAAAGGGGCTTATAATAAAGATGGGGACAAACTTTTTAGCAGGGCCTTTACACTATGATAAATGGTTTTAAACTAAAAGGGAGAAGATTTAGACTAGATATAAGGAAGAAATTCTTTATAATGAGGGTGGTGAATCACTGGCAGAGGTTGCCCAGAGAGGTGGTGGATGCCCCATTCCTTGAAACTTTCAAGGTCAGGTTGGATGGCACTCTGAGCAACCTGATCTAGTTGAAGATGTCCATGGTTGTTGCAGGAAAGAATTGAACTACATGACCTTTAAAGGTCCCTTCCAAACCAAAGTGTTCTATCAATTATGGTAAACTGTAGATCAGTATACTGTGAATTATTCTTTTTTTGGTGGGAGTTTCGTTGTAGTTGTGTTTTTTTAACCTGTTTTACCAACCAGCTTCGATATTATTACCTTTCCCAGGGAGCAAACCCTTGTGTATATTTGACCAAACTACATGATGACAAACTTTAGTGGATCTTTTAATAGTGTTGAATATCTTTCTCTAATCCCACATGCACAGAATGGGGCTAGGGGAAAAAAGGTTTACCACTTACTGAGTGGCCTTTAGTCAACTTCATTTAAGTTGCAGAATATAAATAAAATGTGACGGCATCTTCAGTTTGTAGAAGTCTGTGCCTCGTTTGTTTCAATTCCAGAGTCTGGTTTTGTCCTCCTTTAATTATTGGTGGAAGACTCTCAAAGAGGAGGCTTTCCCTTTACTGTCATCTTTGAAGCACCTGCAGAATTAATTTCTGTCTTTATTTCTAGTGATTCATATTCAGTCAATGGAGTAATGCTTTGTCTCATGAAATAGTGAGCATGCTGTTAAGAGAGCATGTAACCTATATATATACGCTATACTATTGTACTCTGTGTATATGTATTTATATATACTATAAATTCTTGCCTTTTCCTTAAATTGCCTGCAAACCTTTCCAGATATAGGTTTAGCCTCAGTTTGCTGACTAAGCTTTCACAAATATCTTGATTTGCCAGGAAAGCAAGACCCCTTTTTTCTGACATTTTAAGTCCAGCTGCATTGTGTATTTATAATAAAAGGATTAGGTAGGAAGGATTACTCCACCCATGTTAATTGCATTCCTCTAGTTGGGTGTAAATTATATTTCTACCCTCTGGGTGTGTAGTAATTGACCCAATTATTCATAGTCTCAGTGGCATATGTTAACAGTTCTTTCAGATGAGAATGTTATCTAATTTGATGACTCTTCTTCATATTCAGTCTCTTGTATTACCTGGTGATCAGCTTGGAAAGATCTTCATTGGAAAGACAAAATTGAGATAAATATAAAAGTGTATGCCAAATATACTTATTACACTTTTATGTAGAAGGAAACTGAGAGTATTTCTGATTTAGAATTGACATGAAATCTTGTAGTAATAGGAGATTTTCCACAGATTTTAATATTTCTACAGTAGTTTTTTATATTCAAATTTATATTATTTTATATTCAGTACTTAAAACCCTTATTCATGGTGTTTCTTGGGTATATTCAAAGATATTTCAAATTTTACATTTACCCTAGTTGGCTAATATCAGTAATATTACTGCTTTTGAAGCCACAGTATCCTGTCTCTCATTTTGTGTTGAGAAGGTGCTGTTGCCTTGATTTCCCAAGATGAAATATGAATGAAGGTGTAAACCATGTTGTGATTTATGGCTTTGTTTAGACTGTGGGTGTATGTTTAAAAATAAAACAAAAACCCCAAACCCTCATATGTTAGTAATGCAAGTCTATGCCTAAGGTAGGTTTTAAGTGCAATACTAACTGGGTTTGCTCTAAACATTATTATGGAGTGAACTGTTTAAAATTGTTATGAAAATTGGCAGCCCACATTTGTCAGGGCTTAGTGTTGCTTGAAGTGGTGCTGAACAGTTAAGACAGAGGACGAAGGGGAATGAATATGTAGGAAATGAAGCTTTGTTAGTTATGCTGCTATCAGACATTTCTTTCCGTGATGTTTGATGCAACAATTCATTATAGATCTCAACTAATGTTCCATTGCAGGCCAAGAATATGTATTGTATTAGCTTTTTTTTTTTTAAAAAAAAAAGTAGTGTTATCCTTTTATGACCAATATTTTTAAATGTGGAAATCTCTTTTTAGGAATGCTAATGACTGCCAATGAAGCCCCTAAAATGAATATCTATTATATACCAGTAAGTAATACAAATTGTTGCTGATATTGCTCTTGAAAGACACAGTTGTTTGGTGCCATTTAGGTATTTTTGTTGAAAAATTACTTCGACAAATTCACATCTACATTCTCTGACCTGTCACGATAAAGTAAATTTAAGTTAACCATAATTTATTAATGTAACATTGATTTGCTTAAAAAGCAGCCTGTAATTTGCCTTTTGCAACCAGTTCCAAAACTGACTAGTGACCACAGAAAATTCTGGTGGAGCTTTACTGGAAAAAGTAGTGTTTTTGATAGCTGATTAGAAAAGAACTCCTAAATAGGAACTATGTTTTTCAAAATAATAATTTTGCTTTTTTGTGAAGTATTTCATTAGTGCCTTTAATACGTGGTATATACTGACACAGTCATAGCAGTAAATACTCTCTCTTCTGACAAAGAAATGCTATTGTGTGGCTTCAAGTATTGCTCTTGGCTGTAGCTTCTGGTCAATGCCCTACTTCATTTGCAGCTTTTCACTGGATAAGCTCTTCACTTGAAAGGCTTAACTGTAGCTTTACCTATATATTATATCTCTGCAGATTGGGTTTAGGGAGACTTAACAGCAAGCCTTCTGGTGTTAGGGGATGGTACAGAAAATTACACCTGTTTCACTCTTGGTTTAGTTTCTACAGTGCTTTCTCTAGGGGGTTTTTTGTCCTGGTAGAAGATAAATAATAGCATATCTATATAAATGTTACACAGAGAATAGCTGACCAGACTCTAAAAATACGTACACTTCTTCTTAAGTAATTTTTGCATTCTGGACAAACTGTAAAATTTATTAATATTGAAATATACATTTAACTGCATTTTAAATTAGCCAAAAAGTCTTCATTCAGATAATTGGTTTAAAATTAATCTAAATATAATTTTCTTTAGGTCATGTCTGGGTTGTCCTTTCGCCACCTCCACCATGTATGATCTTTCTTACATTTAAGATGGAAATTCATCAGTTTACACTTCTCCTTGTACAATAGACACTATATACCTGTTGTATATTCATGTCCAAACACAGCAGTATACCCCTCTAAACAATTCTACAGTCTGGTTATATTTACTTATATTATTAGATTTTTGCATTTAAAAAAAGGTAAAACTTTATACATGAGTTCCACGTGTGTCATTTATGTCAGGTTGTTCTTTGGATGTAAATTACCTATTTCTCTAATTCATCTCTAACCAACTTACATCTTGTTAACTGTTATCCAAAGCTGTTCCATGCTTTGGATAACAAAGGGGGACAAGAAGTATTTATGACAAAGTATTAGCTGTTGTTAGAAGCTGAACACTTTATTTGCTTGACCCTTTGTAAGATTGAGAGAGTAGCTCTCCAAGCATTTTTTTAATCTATCGTTACTTTAATTAATGGATTAGGGAAGACAAACTCCCATATTTTCAAAGTCTGAATTTTTAAAACTAGAATGGACTAGTTACTCAGTTTAAGTAATTCAGATGGAAAAAGCATTCCTTCTGTCACTAAAGGTAAGGTTCAACTTCTCTCTGAAAATTGTGCACTGAGGTTTTTTTTAAATGCAGGTGTGAATGATACATGAAGTCAGCAGCTATAGTACATTAGAGGTGCATATCCAACTTCGCCAAAAAGTTATTTCATTGTCTTGATTGTCACCACTGATGAACGTTTGTTAGAACTTGTTCAAGCTAGTATTATTTTGAGCATTTTTGCACATATTGTAAATCAAAATGAAAAATACTTATTTTTTGCTCTCAAAAATCTCACTCTCATAGAATCCTCCATGAATACTTAATTCATGTTTCTGGAGTCAGACAAGTAGTTTTTAGCTAAAAACTAAAAGCATTCCGTGATCTCAGATCATACTGAGATATGTTATTGCAAACATGAATACTGACTAATACTATCTAGTATTTTTGCAGCATGCAGGCTATTACAATGAAGATTATCATAAATCTTTCCTTAAACCATCTTCCTTTGTCACCATTCTCTGTTTATTGGTACCTGAGTCTGCCTAAACTTGTTTGGATCGTACCTTTTCATGAGTTTTACATTCACAGTGACACATGGGTATACAAATGGACCCAAATGATGAATATTAAAGCATAAATCCAAATAGGAGTTCATTTCTGTAATATTGTTGTGTACAAGAAAATTTAAAATTTAATTCAAAAGCTGCTATCCAGATTAAATTTCGGTTTTGGATAAGCTAAACTTCTCCAGTTTGTGTCAATGGCTTTGAGTTTGAAGGGTGCTAAAGATACCTTAAATACTGTCATGACTTTGTTAGTTGACAATCTGTAGTTCATTTCAAAATATTTAATACTTATTTTAGAAAATAGAAAAGTTAAATGTAGCGAGAAAGAGTTACTTTGAAATAGAGACAGAAATCTCACACTCTAGTCTGACTTTTTTACCCTGTCTGCATTTTTACAGGCAAGACTGAAGGGGCTGGCATAGACAGTGCTGTATAATTGAAGGGTTTTTTACTGCATTTCCTAAAAATCAAGTATGTAGCTTTCTAAATCTGTTTTTGTTGGCAGTTTTGGTTTTTTTTAATCTACCTTTTAAATGAAGAAAATATAAAATGGGGCAGTTGTGTCAGCCTTAAACTGCTCCAGGGCATTTGTTATTAAGGAAAGCTCAATGTTATTAACATGTTCATGTTACAGTTTTATTCCTTGATCTTTTGGGCTAGTTATTTGAGCTGAGAGATGCACACCTGTCCTTTCTGTGTCAGTAGGTTATTAATACATGGGGTTTTTTCCATCCTTGGAACACTTAGTAATTTCCCTGCACTGCCAAGATGAGTTTAGTTGAATGGGTCTTTGGAGCAAAACTTTAAAGAACCTGATCTCTTTTCATGGTCTCATTTTCTGGCCTTTTCTAAGAACTAGAATTCACATTTTTTTCAACCAGTTACTTAATTTTCTATTTGTTTGTTTATTTTGAGATAGACATATATACAGTTAAAACTGTGTCCTCTGCCTTTGAGATGGTGACAAGAATTAAGTTATAAGTCTTCTTGAATTCCACAACAGAATAAATGCCTGGGGGAAATGTTACTATTGTAAAGGACAGTTGTGTTTCTTGGAAGTACTTCTGTGTAAATAAAATCCATTTAATTGCCCTAGCCCCTCATTGCTCTGTAGTGCTAGTAATTATTCTCTTGTTTTAAATCTTCACTGGAACAGCTACAAGGAGTTGCCATGGCTCTATGGTCAAGGAGGATACTTAAAATCACAAATGTGTGGTGATGTGCTCTGTGTAAGAAAAATTCAGATGGGTGCAGACAGACCCAGCATCCTCTGTCCTTGATTGAAGTTGGCCAGACAGTGTAGGACTAATATACCCTGCCTCTCAGCAGGTTTTATTAGTGTGGGCACAGTGCTGTACTAACACAGCTACATGACTGCTGAACTAGAGCTGGCTTGTGTCCGGCCAGCTTGGAGTACGGTCTGACTGAGCTCATGTCTGACTGAATTATCTGTGTGCATGTGCCCATTCTCTCCATTGTTAATGCCAAGGCTGAATTTCCATTTCAAAACCAAAAAATTGCTCTCTTGAACTTCAGGATTATAAAACATTTGACAATGGGTATCATAATATTGTCTGTAAGTGAAATCGCATCAGCTTTTCCTGAAGAATTTTCATCAAGGTAGATATGACAGTTAAGACTAGGAATGTCTGAGAACACTATGCATTTCTTGTAAAAAATCACTGCAGTTGTTTCTTTTGTGTGCAGAACTTTTAGTAGAGGAAATAGAAGGTTATTTTTTTGTTTACTAGAAAGGACAGGCAGGTTTGCTTTTAAGTGATAAGAAGATACCTTACATAGCTACACACTGCAGAGCGTGAGCAAAAGCCAAATTGAATCTGACCGTTAAAATGAAATGTTTGTTTTACATGGGTAGCATCTTGAGTGGCTTACCTTAGAGACTTTGTTTTGTTTTATATTTTGGGCTTTAATGAGGGCAAGTGCCTCTGACTGGAATTGGACTGTTTGCCAATAGTTTAATAGCTTACTTGCAGTTTATGCAAACATTTGGAACCTACTTTGTGCCAGCTGGCTTCCTGGTACATCACTTTGATGTGTGCCTTGGGAAGGTTGAAATGAAAGTTGTGTGTGCCTTGGGATAGTTTTTAGACTACTGACTCAGAAACATAAGTTGAGTCAATAGTGCAACCTTGTCCTGGCCAAAGAAGTGAAGAGAGGCAGAAGTTCCACTGACATATGGTGGTCCACTGGCCTGGGATCTAAGATGAGTCAGATTCTCTTTAGTTAGGGCTGTCAGCTTCCATGACATATAATGTTCTCTTTTCAGATTGTACAGAAACCCTGCTACATGTCAGCTCCTGGATGCTCTGGGTGGAAAACAAGGGGCATAGATGTTTCTCTGAGTGTTTACTACTGGTTACATGAACATGTCTGATCTTAGCACAGACATTGCAAATCAGTTGTCTCCTTTATTGGACTTGAAACTTTGGGCTACATTCTGAAACTGAAACTTGCTCTATTCATTAGCCTGTTAAAAGAAGAGAGCAATTAAGCATGTAATTAATTGAGTGTAATATTCTGTGTTCTAGATTTTTTTTGCTTTCCTGCAGTCTTGGCAGAACATTCCCTGTTGAGGCTAGAAGCAATGTACTTTTGGTGGAGCAAAGATATTAAGCTCTTTAAGAAAAAATAAATCCTGGAGCATCTCTGGCTTCTTTTCAGGTGTTTTTGGAAAAATCATTTGATATCCCAGCACTCTTATAGTTCAGGGCTGCAGGAGTTATAAACTGGAAATGTTTCAAGAGCAGTATTTCTTGTCTACTCAATGATTGAGTTTCTACAAGAGTATAAGGTGGTATACAATACCCACTTTGAATATATGGATCTCTTTATGGCTGGAAATATTATTAATTTTGTCCTCTTCAAATTGGGTGTCTTTTCAGTTAAACCAACTATTCCTGGTACTTCTTTCCTTTCCTTTCATACATGATATTTCAACTAATTTCAT